ACCCCTCATCAGCTAAATAATTCATATAGCTTTCCCCAGTGTACAACCCAGCTTAAAGTGTAGTTAGAGGAGTTGCTTTCGTGTAACGTGGACAGTTGTAGTGCTATTTAGGTTGCATAGACACTGGTAATCTATTATGATTCATACATTTTTGCTTTTAGTTTTGTCATTTTATTGAATGTAGAACAGGGGCACATAAATATTTCAGCTACATGTTTTGTTAACTACGGATAGATAACAGGAAGTCCATTAAACAATTAAATTGGTGAATGTCTATACGAGTAAAAAGTTTTTCTTTGGTCTAATTCGTTCTGTGTTAACCGTGCTTATCCGATACAATTACAACATTCGTGGAGAGCTTGTTCGACTTTTCATATGCAGGTGAATACCTGAATTTCATTTCATTAACCAGTAAGATTTTTAACATCCTGATTATATAAATGTAGATGCCTGGATTGATATTATTATTATTATTATTATTATTATTAATAATAATAATAATAATAATAATAATAATAATAATAATAATAATAATTACGATTATTATGTGCATTATCACTAGGCAACACTATAGCAATTTTGTATACCATATACTATAATATTCTTTCAATTATTTGCATTTAAATTCTGCTAAAGTTCAAAATACAATCCCAGGGCGCAACCTTTGAACTATTATAAATTCATTTAAAGTAAATATTATCTGGAATATTTAGGACTACGTTCGTCTGGGTTATAGTCTTTAAACGACATTGAATTACAACCACAATAAATAATAGTATCGATTGAAAAATGTTTCATACTAACCGTAATCTTTAAGATTCGGCCCCTTCTCTGCAAAAGCATCACGGCCGGGGTGTTATGCGGACGTTATGGACGGTACCTTAACGGTACCGAATAACGGCACAAATAAGGACCCGTTGTAATACTTATGCAATAACGGTTTCAGGAATTATTTGTGCTTTACCACTGGCCTCCACATCGACTAGTGCGTGAAATTCATTGGCTAACGTTTGTAGTATTTGGGTCTCTAATTGTAGCAATTTTCTGTAGTTGACTGAAATTAATAAGTCGCCATCGTGGAACTGACTTTTCAATGCATTGATTTCATTTTAAATCGGAATTTCGGTTTCATTTGGTTATCATACCGTTCTCGCAGTGTGCATTGTTTACATTTTTGCAGGCGAGCTATAAGGTAAAGTTTTTTTTTTTTTAACTATGGCTCTTAGTATGCAACGTTTTCTTTACGTTATTGAAGGAATTACTCCGGTAATAGACTTTTGCGTTTATTTTACAAAACACAGCCACCAGAAAGTAGCAAATGTGTGCAATTTTGTAATTATGGTCCATGTTGGCTCCTTTGGTTGCCACGTCGTCATATATTCTTTTGACAAGACACAGGTACGCGCAATATCACGCTCAATCTATCTCTTGGGACATGACTGTTACCCAGCCTCAACCATAACAGTAAACCCATAAGTGGCGAAGAAACATACGTTTAAATTCCGCTCATGGCACATATGATGTAGTAAATCATATATTCAATTATTTAAGAATAAATTAGTTAATGGGTTTATCATCATTAGTGTAGCCCAGTCAGTAGCTTGTCGTAGATCTTGTTGCTCTTTCAGCCGCTGGGGGTCAAGAAATCCATCTGATGCATTTTTGGTAGCCCAGCCATTCGCGAGCCTGAAAAATTCCAGCGCTAGAATTGAGAATTTTATTGTAGGCGCCAAGGATGGGTAAATTAATGCGTAATCGTCTTAATACACGTGTTTAACCGAGCGGTTGTGTAACGTCTCTGTAAATTGTTATTCTTCGGTAGCCTATTTATCTGTATTTTTCTGTCTATTTGCCCTCATGTGGTCGCACATGATTATATTTTCATCATTAAAAGCCAATAAAAAGGATAAAGGGAAACCTTTAATTATAATAATAGGTGAAGTCATTTTACTGTATTGCTTATGGTATGTACACCCAGAAAATTAATTGGCTGCTTATTCACTTTTTTCCATTTTGCTGTGATAGTTAATTCGGAGATGAACAAGAGAATACGATAAGTTAATGGACACATTCAGCAGTTCATTTAGTTCACTTTAAGTAATCACGTGCACATGCGCTCTGATTATTCGGCCGTATTTCCCCGACTTTAAGAGATCAGACCCATCTTCGGAGTAGGCCCACCGAGACCCCCCTTCTGCAACCACCATGCGCTCCCCGGAACATCTTGCAGTAATCAGTCCAATTAGTGGAGGTCGCGGCAGCGAGCTCTCTGGTAAGCGGCGGGAGGTTGTGAAAATAGCGGCTAGCTATTAGAGGCAACGCGATCCCCATTCATCAGTATTGTAATAATCATCGCTCGGGAGAGCCACGCGGGCATGGCGAAGCTCTGATCAAAATGATCAGTGGAAACAAGAGGTTTACAAACACTGTCAGAGCAGAGCTGGTACCCTGATTCGCCCCGTCACTGCCGGGGTCTCCCAGTCTTTTGAGACAGATTGAGTCTGATAGCCACGCTGTTGTGACTCTCCCAGCTTACATGGCGCGACGGCCAGTGTGGTCGCTGGTCATTAGGAATTTATCACTAAAACACCGTAAGAGGATTTATGCACAGTCATCACTAAATATGTGTGTTTATAACCTAAATTGTGGGATTTCATTCGTCGGATACCATGCAACGATTATCGTGCAAAACAAAAATTAAGCGTTAGCTACCTTTTTATGGTTTTGATCTAGTCAATAAAGGTGTTTTTCCAATAGTATATGCAAATAATTATTGTGCTATGCGTATCAGTTGCAGACTAAATAATGTTAAGACTGCATACCTAAATACAACTATTCTAAATAAGTCTTAACTTCATAATGGAAGCTTTTTTAAAACAGGGCAACCCTTTAAAACCGTATCTTTGTTATAAAATACACGAGTGTGCATGTGTAGGCTATATAAGATAAAATCTAATAAAGAGCTTGTTAATAAGTCCCCAATAGGAGATTATTGTTAGTGGCTCAGGAATATTTATCATACACATTTTAGGAACTATGTGTGTGTTCAAAAAGTACACCATTTGCTGTTTCTTTAAGATTGCAGAGGCGGATAAGCGAATTTAAAAGCCGCCCCTAAGTGATCAGTCTGTCAAACAGTTTTCAAGAGCTCATTCTTAAAACGTGTGCTTATTGCTTTCACCGCGTGCACAAATTGAGCAGCTCCATAAACCGATCAAGTGGAGATATTCAACAACGAATATCATACACCGTATATAATAATTAATAACCTGGCTTGAATAAATTATAATAATTCATTTCAGAGTAGCTAAATTTAATAAACGCCTAAACATGTTAAAGTCCGTAATTCATTAAGATTAATATCGCGAAGTAATAATTTTTTCATATATTCATGCACGTTTATGAGATTAAATAGAATAATTGTTTTCTATGAATATCAATTTCTCCTGTCTGGTCCCCTAGCGATTAGCGCGAGACAAGATAATACCCGAGCACCATTCTGCTCGCTTAAGGCGAAACCCGAGTCATTTTTATTAAATTGTAAACACCCGTTTTCTCTCCTATTGATATCACGACATAGGGACGGATTAGGGTCCCCTTACAGGATTATTTGTTTAATTGACAGAATGGAACCTGGGCATTGCATTGCGGCCGTAGCTGGGGAAAAAAAGTTTTATTTGCTATTCATCTTATTAGAAGTACAAACATTTAAATAATAACAATAGTTCTGAAATTAATACCACGCTGTATTGGGCCCTTAGTTTAACTGTAATAATGCCTTTGAATATTGTTTTAAGAATTTTCCAGTGTATGCTATATATGTATTACAGTAGTATTAAGTTAAATCACGTTACTCCAAATTTATAGGATTATAATAAACCTAATTTATATAATTATGCATAACTCATTACGTTATAGGCAATCCTGACCGCTCGAAAAGAAATTTAAATGTACAGTTCAACATGATATTCTGTTCTGAGTATTCAGAGACGTCGTTGCTGGAGTCAAAGTATCAGTTCTGTAGAGTATAAAAATTCACACTTTCTGACCTAAATTTATGTTTGAGAATCAGCCTACGGTGCATGCTGTTTTGTTATTCTTTTTCTGGGAGGTATTTGGTCCTAAAGGTCGTTATTTTAGACAAGCTAAAGTCAATAGCAATAAAATTTTAAGTAGCCGTTGATCCTAATTATATTAATAGTCTTCTCTTATACACATGACGGGTCTAAGTGGGGGGAGTGTGTATAAAAGCAGGACGGCTGGTATTCGGGATATTACCGTAGTCTTTTGGAAATAGACGCATGTAAACAGAAGTGTTTTTGAGGGGCCAGCTGATTGACTGTAGGCAATGAGTACCGAAGACGTGTGCTGAAGGTCGTGAGTCTCCCTTAGGGCGAAAACCAGTGGAGCAGCTGTCTCCTGATCCCCGGCTACAGGTTAAATCAGATCGCCTACAATCAACGTAGTCTGGCTAATACGGAAATTCAAGTCAAAACGCAAAATTATATCTCTGGCCGTAATGCATCGGTGTCCAAAACAGTGGCTTTTTAGTATCGTACATAATGCGGTCCTGTTGACCGTGGCATTACTTATTACGTGCTATAGACTTAGTTCGTGCTTGTTAGAGTGGGAGAACGTGATACACGTTATCTCGTTTTTATATGATTTTATACGAGTTTGCGGTTGGATATTTATAATCAAAAGTTCCTAGATAACTGTTCCGAGAAAATCAATCAGTAGTAAATAGCCCATAAATGACATTCAGGGAAGTGCTTTAACAAAGTATCATGAAGCATAAACCGCTCGACCAACATGATCATTCCGCAGTAAAAAAAAAAAAAAAAAAAAAAAAATCGCATCGGCTATTAAACAGACATCGATTGCAAAACAATGCCAATTAAATATCACCAATAATACTATCCACTTTTGATTCAGAAATTTTAATTTAACTAAAACAAGTACACATGTAAAATATCAATTCCTGAATAACGTTGCCTTACCGGGATGACAAGTAAAAGTGAGATTTCAGATGAGAATCGATGAAACTGCCGTTGGCCCCACGCGTTTATCCGCGGTCAGTTTTGACAACGCCGATCCCCAATTCGCCTTCTTTATTTAAACCAAGCTTTTGCAAAACTTCAGCCTTCCGACCGCTTTCTTTGTGCGTGCTTGCGACGCTCCGTCTTTTTCTGAACATGTTTTGAAATAATCCACGGGAAAAGGGAATAAGGTTACCGTTCAGGCTATCAGTGCGCGTATTCACGCATGCATTTATTCATTGATAAGAACCTTGCCTGTTTTTAATGCCTGTACGTGTTAGTCATACGGTTTTATGTCCTGATTGTAATGCGACTTGTTAATGACCACACTTTCAACACCCTGGATAATCATACGGTGTAAATCTCACTTTAATGTTAAGCATAAATTGGTAATGAAGAAAGGGAGACCACACAATTGAGCAAGTACCAAGCTGTGAACTGGGACCGCAAATGTTTAATTTGTTACATTGTGTCCGAATAAATGCACGATTGCAATAAAGTAAGAAATTCATTCGTGTTGTAAAACATGGATTGTTAATGTGAATATAGACGTTTCTCTCTGTTGAATGTTAGATAGGTAGGTTATTACGAGTGAAAGGAGACTTAGTCATGTTTGAACGCGCACACCGAGCCCGTACACTGAGCTCTGGCGCCATCCTCCACACAGCAGAAAGATCGCAGCAAAGTAGCTCGTCGCTCTTTGGCTGCTCCGAATGTCTGTCAAAGCAAAGGGGGCAAAATCTATAACAGAAGGGTAAAAAATCTAAGTAATATTTCAATCGGTAGGCGGGCTGGAAATGGAGGGAACAATCTGTCAACGGAGCCAGGGAGCCACCTCAAAGCATATCGGGTTACTTTGAATGACAGCGTAACCATGGCAAATAATTTGACTAAAACTATTGTCTTATCCTCACCATCCCCGGGTCAGATAACCAACCAATCACAGTTCACATAATCTCTTTTCTTGCCAGCTTAGAATAATATTATTAAAACACGCGAACGAGTCTACTTTTTAAGAGTACGTTATGTTGAAACGGCATAGAAAAGGTGCTGATCGACTCTGGAAGGAGTAAAAACTTTGTTTCACAGCAGCTTCACTGGATTGCCATATGCGCAGTATATTACTGAACAGGACTAAACAAACTTTCTTTTTGCACTCAGACTGGATTTTATCTTTGCAATTTTGAGACACCGTTCATGCTCAGAGGGACTTACAGTGTCCGGGATTCTTTCATGTCTTAGTTTACGCGAAAAGTAAGAGGAAAATTAATCCGTGCTTTATTGACTAGAAAATCATGTCTATGCTTCCAACATTTGGTTTTACGCAGGAGCAAGTTGCGTGTGTCTGTGAAGTTCTCCAACAAGGGGGCAACATTGAACGTCTTGGTCGCTTTTTGTGGTCTTTACCTGCCTGCGAGCACCTCCACAAGAATGAGAGCGTCCTCAAAGCCAAGGCGGTGGTGGCTTTTCACAGGGGCAATTTCAGAGAACTGTATAAAATCCTCGAGAGCCACCAGTTTTCTCCGCACAACCATCCCAAGCTGCAGCAGCTGTGGCTCAAAGCGCACTACATCGAAGCGGAAAAGCTGAGAGGACGCCCTCTCGGGGCTGTGGGAAAGTACCGTGTCCGCAGAAAGTTCCCCCTGCCCCGGTCGATCTGGGACGGCGAAGAGACAAGTTATTGCTTTAAGGAGAAGAGCCGGAGTGTTCTGAGGGAGTGGTATACCCACAACCCGTACCCTTCCCCGCGAGAGAAGCGGGAGCTGGCCGAAGCCACGGGACTGACAACCACCCAAGTCAGCAACTGGTTCAAAAACAGACGGCAAAGGGACCGTGCAGCAGAGGCAAAGGAAAGGTACGTGTTAATGGAAGTTTGCTCGCACTACAGCAGCACTCGAACGTTTTCCTGTTTCTAAAGTACAATTTTGATTCGCAGTCACATATAAAGCATGTCTCCCGTTTTATGTTGCACGGAAATATGTTTTCCAGAATCTTGGAGTAAGACAAAAAAATGGAAAAGGGAATCCGATCCTTTTTCCCTGCAAAATAAATTCTGCCATATAGGCTGCTTTCTACCTAATCGGAATATTTTTCGTTGTGCAAACCGGTACGGTGGAATAGTACGGAATTAGTCCGTGTTTGTGTTTTACTGTGAAGGAAAAAAAACGCGTATTACCTTTTGCTTTAGGCTAACTACAACCAATTTGTAAATACGTGTCTCAATCATGCATATACAGAGGAAATAAAATCACGACGATTGTTAATTTATATAGGCTAACAATTTGGAAAACAACGCAATTTCGAAACTTTGTACTAATTTTCAACAGCCCTTGCATTTGTAGTCATGCTTTCTTGTTTGTGTACCTGTGCAGACACAAAGAAGCGATTCTACTGACGTCTGATGAATCATTTCAAAACTTCAGACTAGTATTTGGTTAATTCTACATGTTCGATTTAAAAGCCAGACCGCTCCCCTGTCAGGTGTTCACCCGGGAGGGCGTCTTGTTTCACTCGGCAGCGGCTAATTCGGGCAGAAACGACGGCGGTAAATCATTGCGTTTCAACTTTAAGACCCTGAGTCACTACAGTTTATACTTACTAAAATACACGCACGCATTTAGACGTGATCGCTGTGGCCTTTTGGGATTTTCCATTTCAACAAGCTAAGGTTTGGTGTTCGCCCTTTTATTTTAGTATGATATTTAAATTAGAACAGTGTTATTCGAAAACAGTACGTTTTTAGGCCGAGATCCATACCGGTTGAAGTATTTATTAAGAGTAACACATTTCATTGTACGTTTGTTCACAGATACACATAGGTACGGTTAAATAGGGCAAAAGTAGGCCTAGGGGCCTCTTATAATTGTTTTTATACAGGTAATTTAAAGTACTATTGCTTTGAGGCTATCTGTTTTAAATCTTAATTACAAAGACGTGTATATGACATGCTAACCTAAGAAAATCAGTGTAATAATCGTTGAAGGCCTTTTGTCCAAACTGTCTCGTGGTTAATTCGTACTGGCCGTCTTAAAAGAAAAGAAAATATCCAAGCTGTATTCCATTTTTTCGATTGCGGACCTATTATGGTGATCTAGTACTTAATCCGAAATAAACAAAGACGGTGTTTTCTGGGGAAATTGTGCAGTAATTATATTTGGTAATGCAATTTGTTTTAGAAAAAATCTTATAGGGTCATTGAACGTTGCACTTCCTAAGACATAACTTTAAAATGAAAATATAGTGTGTACCAGACGATATGCCGAAAATAAACCGGCGTGTTATTTACCAAAGGTATATCAGCCTTTATTTGATAATTATAAAGTGCACATTTTGTTTGTTCAGAGTGTGTAGCGCATAATTAATCAGGGTCATAATTTAAATTTTCTGTTATGTGTTAACTGACGTGTGTAAACTGACATGGTTTGCACATTTCGTTTTGGTATAATTTACTATGAAAATGCAACATGTGGATTGAGGGGTTAATTCATGATAACATAACAGTATGAATTTGACAATGTGAACTTTATACGCGACGTTTGTCTGGGGCAGGGAATTTCGGTTTGTGCCTTCCTTTAAATACACTCCTCTCTTTCGCAGGGAAAACAACGAGAATTCAAACACTAACAGCCATAACCCATTGACTTCTTCCATGAATGGAAATAAAACAATCTTGGGGAGTTCGGACGACGACAAAACACCTTCTGGGACGCCGGATCACACCTCGTCAAGCCCGGCTTTGCTCATGACTTCCAACTCGGGGCTTCCGCCGCTCCACGGCCTTGCGCCCCCCCCTGGTCCCAGCGCCATCCCCGTGCCCAGTACGGACACCGTACACCACCATCACTCTTTGCACGACACTATACTGAACCCTATGTCGTCCAACCTGGTCGACCTCGGCTCTTAAACGCAGGGACTGTTTTTAAAAGACATTAACGAGAACATGGACGATCGATTGAAACAGACGCCTGAAGCGATGTTCAAAATGTAAACGGACAGAATCCTTAGAGGATATTTTATCGACACGGGGGAGGTGACATGGTAGGCGTTTAAAGGTATTTTATTAGAATGTAATAACAGGTTATTTCGAAGAAAACAAGAACGTCTTAATTCTTATTATCATCATCATCGTAATTATTATTTTAGAGGACAGAGTTACAACAGATCCGTCTGAGTCGGGTATACCCCAAGTCCTTTTCACATGCCGACACCCTGCAGATCTTCAAACACGTCATGTTCGGTTTTATTTTTTATGGGGTATCATATTAGATATGTTGTTAAGGGGAGCAGTCTTAAAAATATAATCTCTTCTTTTTATTTGTATCTTATTTTGGAAAGCGACTGCATGTAAACTTGCGAATAATAAAATATTAAAATCGATCCCGCCATAGTTTCATATACCCTTTACAATAAAATTAAGTATTGAATACATTAAAGATATCAGGTGTCTCATTCATCTCATATGGTTTTTGTTTAATTGTGTTTTATAACAATATAGCGTCTCTCGTTGATATGCCGTGTGCCGCCCGTAGAAAGCCGTAACATGTTAGGTGAAAAACATTAACTTTAATCTAAGAAGAAAGTTGCATAACCTATATGTCTTTCATGATAACGATCATGATTAGGCCCCGAATAACAGAATTTGGCAAGCTGGGTAAATTGCGTACAGTAATTTAACCCTTAGGCTTGGCTTACTGCTATTTATGCGAAAGCCTCTGAAGTTTTGTAGACATTTAATTACTTAAACCTCGCCAGCATTTTCCCTCGTGTTTCCTGCTAGTTTATTTGCAAATTGCTGAGGGTTATCAAGAAAATACTGTCGCAGCCACGTCGTTCCGTATTAATAGCTCGCAGTGCTCGTTTTAGTTTTCAAGTTGTTCAAATCCCGAATTCCACGTAAGTATGTCTTAATTGTATATTTCCGTAGTCGTCGTAGATTTGTGCGGCACATATCTGCCTCTGGCTTTCTTCTGGGGGATCCATTTATAACCGTGTCATTTAAAACTGGTCATTTAAACTGTATGCGGCACGAGGGTAGGCTGCTTTGTATTTGCGTGAATTGCGTTTGGTAGATGTAGAATATAGGTCTGCCCCTTATGGCGAAGTTGCTGGTTGGCAAAGCCTCCCCCTCATCTTAGTCTGTAGAAGCGTACACGATGCCATTTTCGTGGTTGTTTTCGGTTTGCATCGCTTTCTCTGGGAAGTGAGGCTGCCGTACTCAGACACGTCTACAGCGAAACACAGGGAGGCAACTATACAGATTAATATCGCAAGTTGTTAAAATATTCGGAAACCTAAGACATGTAGTTTTCCCAACTGACCGTAAAGAACGGGGGACATTGTCTAGTATACAAGTACTGGCAGTTAGGGATTGAATAGACTTTTTCAGTAGGTCGCCACTCGAGTGTAGATAACCTAGTTAAATTGCATATGCTCGGGTCGGAGGCCATTATAGACGTACGGCTTTGCTGCTGTAGACACGAGCATATCTGGTGTCCTGATTTAACGCACTTCCAATGCGGGCCGGTAATAAAAAGTTTTATTAATGCGTTACGTCCTCTGATCGGCCTTACGTATGTTTCAAAATATGTAAATCAGACGCATAAAATTATTTGTTCGGCCGTTAATACAGGTAATTTAGTATGCTGATTATTGTTTAAATTTATTTTTAAAGTACATCTTTTTAAAGACAGCGGCAGCCTACATAACAGTGAAATGTTGCCTTTTTAATTAAATTCACCATTAACTGTAATCTTTACCCTGTATTTTCTACAATAGCCTATAGGCTACACTCTGCACGAATCACTTTAGCATCAATGTACCTGGCAATCTAAATAGATTAAATACTGATTGTCTCCGCAGCTGGGCGTTAAATATTTTCCCGCAAAGGTAAAAAATGGCCACAAATATGATAGATATTTTTCGAAAATATGAGAATCGGTGCCATTCCTGAAAAATTTTATGAGCAGGAGAAAATAAGCCACTGATAAATTTAATAGGCCTACTTGATCTGTCTCAGAGGTGTCAGAGGGAGTGTAAGCGCGGTGCCCTACAGACTCCAGACTTATCTGCTCCACGCCAAGGCTGCTGCAACAGTCACTTCGGATCATCTGCTGTACTTGACGAGAGAGAGGTTACCATCCACATTCACTGCTTTGTTCTACTTCTTAAATGTTTACATGTATATTCCAACTAATCCGGTCGCGTGTAAAATATTGTTAGGTCAACTTAAATTGTTATATGTGTTAATGCTGCAGACGTACTGGTTTGATTTCTTGGAAAAATACCAATTTTACGCAGATGAATTGAGATGGGGTTTTCTGCTAAGGATGTTTGGGTTTTATAGGGGCTTGTTACAGTGTAGTAACACAAACAATTTAGGATGGTGGGGTAGCAAAGCCTTTTAAGACTAAATGAAGCTATTTTTTATTTTATCGAAAAACTATATATTTAAACGTCTAAATATATTACAATAGATTGCTTTATAATTTAATTGCACGCCTCCCACAGGAATGTTAGAGTCCCATCGGATGCCAATACAAAAATTTTCAGCTTTTGCATTACTTTCCAATTTTGCAGTGGTTAGTACGGTTTTATTCCGTTTTACTTTATGAACAAAGTGTGTGCTCTCATTGGTCCCTGCCTCTAAGATGTCAAACATTTTTGCATCGCTTTAAAGCAAACAGGGCATTAATTACAGTCTTTGGTCAGAGGGGAATAACAATAAGGAAGCGTACCTTGGAAACACACGAAAGCTGTGACAAACTTGCAGGCATAATTGAAATACGAGTGACAGTTTCCTCTAGACAAGGTGAAACTTTGTTCAGGCGGCCGTGCCCTAAGTTTTGAGGGGGCGGGGAGTCATTATATTTCTGATTATAGGATGCTTCATAGCACTCTGGACTTGTAACGCAACACAAAAAAGCTGCCTGTATTCTTCTGTTCTTTACTGTTGCAGTAAATACGCCGAGGTGCCTTGTAGAAACTTGCGTAAAAAGAAGCAAAACTAAAAAAACAAAAAATGAACAGTGGACTGAACCAGCAACACTGGATTTTTAACACCAGACTCAAATTCATCCAACTCCTCGTGTCTGTACACTCCTCAGTGCACTATTTTTTTCGTTACGTCGCATTCAAAGGACATGGTCTGTCCACTTAGGAATAGTACATGTACGTGCCGCATGTCTGCATATAAAAATCATGTGGAAACAGGAGGCGTCTTATAAATGTATTAACAGTGCGCAGAGATTAAAGTGGATATGGCCGAAAATGTGATCATGGCGATGAGGCTTTCAGGTACCACCGAAATTAGCCACGAATAATCAACTGAAAATGCCATTGATATTTTGAAGTTTCAATAAAGTCAAAGCAATCAAATGTGTTTAAAGATGTCCCCAGGTAATTTTAACTAGACAGTAAGATAAAATACAAAAATCAGTAAAATCCCATGATTTGAAAGAACAATTGAAAGAAAAATAATCGTGAGAATTTTTTTTAATCATGCATCTATGCTAAGTACACGTATATGCCTTTTCGCTCTTCCCCTTTGTGCCATTCGTGCGTTTTGTCAAATTCCACCTTTTTTGCATCGCGTCTAATACGTCCCCTGTTGGTTAACATGGTTGCGTATCTTTATTGATTTTTCAGAATACAGTTAAATTAAGTAATGATCATCCAACGAAAGTTATATTTGTTAGTCAAATAAAATTAAGGTATTCAACAGTAAACCACAGCCGACGGATCTGCATAGGGCCACTTGAAGCTGCGACATGAAACGGGCTGTTAGTGTCACTTTAATTCTGTATTTCCAACTCTTTGAATACGTACTATTTAAAAATAATGAGCGCTCTCCGTTATTGTACTGCTTAACTTTTGTTTAAATGTTTAAATCTAAACTGCACATGTTCAAGAAAAAACTTAGTTTCCATGAGCGTTTCGCTTACATAACAAAACAATAAATTACGTGGAATTATATGTATAATAAAATCTGCCTGCGATTTGTTATAACAATAATTCAAATGTTTTTCTATAAAGTAGATGTCTGATGGAACTTTGAAATGCATCTAATTGAAATTTATTCATCAGGATGCATAACTCGAGATACATAGGCTGCCTATCAAGTGAAATAAACACGTCTCTCCACGGCATAATATGTTTTAATGTTTTAATGTTTATAAACATCTTAGGCCTATTGATTACCCAGCTTGTGTCATTTAAGCGTTTTGTTCTTCTGGCTGGTCCCTGAATATGTTTATTTTTTGTAATTTCAGGTTGTATTAAAACCATGAAGTGTTTAAGATGACAAGTGAACCGTGTCTTTAATATAAAAATGCCTCAAAATAAACAAAACTTCGTGATGTTGGTTTCTTTTGGGATCCAAGTGACCCGTGGTACTTAAAAAAAAAGGGGGAAAAACACGCCTTTGCTGAAGCAGCAATGTCTCATCTTCAGTTTTACATTTGGCCGTGCTCGTGTAAACTTCTCGTGTGTCCCAATTTTTGTGAAATAGCTCAAGAAAATAACCTTCAATTTCAATAAATCCAAACTACTAAGTAATGGATGAGATGCGCCGTAGTTTTGGTAAACTGGTTATGCAACTGATTTATGTGGTTTCGATTTTAATGATATTTTCTCATTTAAAGCTGATGGTTGACTTAACTGTACGAGGGGAATCCTAGCGTGCCGTCCAGGTCATGTTTGCCCTTAATTTGTCTTGCTTGTCGTTTAATAGTTATTTCTAGTTTGTATAGCCTATACCAATTCTACACACCTTTGGGGGTTCATAGATTCCCGCAATATATGCTTATTTCCACAACAAAAAAACACCAAGTGCGTTTGTCATTCTACGGAGAATAAATTACAGTCTCTCTGACAACTGTTAATTGACTCTTCTCACGACGCCAAAACTGGACCATGTTTCATGGGTAAATCTTGGGTCAGGCGGTAACTGCTGTATGCGACATTACTAAAAGCCCAAGGCCGTCGCCTCTAGCACTTTGGGATAAATAATGTTCACGTTTCCGTATTTATGTCGCAGTCCGTGTTTAGTCGGTCTTATTTGGTCTGTCAGGTAAACATGTGTCTTTGTAAATTGCCCTTGCTTTTGGTAGTAATGGCCTAAAGCAATTGTTACATTTTCCCCCATAATTTTAAAATAATTATAAGAGATTTTCTTAATCTCCAACAATTATCCCACTGTCAGTTTTCCCTTGTACAAGACTTCACGTTAACAGAACCTTTTTTTCTAAAGGGGCAGCTGTACATTGTAACAAGCAAGCGCTCCTAAACCGTGCTGTAAATACTTTGAAATACTCCCAGTTTGCCAGTGGGACAGGCCTGTTTGTGCAGACGGACAGTTACACGTCACTGTCCCGTAAATAGACCGTGATTTGTTATGGACCCCATCATCGCAGAGTTACGGCACAACCAGAAACTAATTTGGCTGTACGAGTACATTTATTAAATTAGACGGTGTCTGAAAAGGCCTTGCCTGGTATATCGTTTAGCAGTTTACGGCTTATAAAAGAAGATACACACACACACACACACACACACACACACACACACACACGGGCACAATATGACAGCCAAGGGGGTGTTGCAAGGCACCGGGTGTACAAGACAGGTCTCACAGGTTGTTTCCCTCTCAAGCGTCTTATAGTGTAGTTATAATTAAGAAATCTTTCTAATAACTAGACATCTTTTGTCAATTTATGGAACCAACAAAATTCATAATATCAGACCCTCGCTCGTTCAGGTATAAGGCGACACTGACTCGCAGACGTCGTTAGATGACCATGCGTGTGGGCGTGTCCAGGTGCTCTTGTCACATTAAAACTACTTTTTTCAAACTTTTTTTCCCTTGTCTTGTTAAGAGCCACATATGAGCCACTTGTCAGATTTTATAGTTGAACACGGGTTGGTTTTCCTGTACGCGTACCTTGGCGCTTTTCCTAACGCCACGTTTGGTCAGTTTTCCCTCTCTTTAGCCTAAATATTTAACAGAATAATTTTACACAATATATAATAAAAATATGAAAGTGTTTACACACAGAGTTCATTTTGATTAAGAATTATGAATTTACAGGGCATCTGGTCTTCTTGTCGCACAAAGACAAACGGAATGTATACTAGCCTATAGTCATTTTGAAGGACTTTATTGCACATTTTAGATTAAAAAATACACCATATTCTGTAAAATGTGTAATACATTCAGTGTTTAAAAATCAATTTTAAAAACTATTATACATTTTTATTATTAATTTGTGATCTTCAACCGATAGGCTATCAGAAAATGGGCCCATTTAGTCTGCCGGGATATCGGGAAACAAAGAAGTTTATGAATCTCTGTCACAAAGCTGGCAGAGTTGATGGAGAAGATGATGCTGTAGTGAACTTTTTGTAACCTTCCGGACGACTGCCCGGCAATGTTTCAAAAGGACTGGGTGTATAAATAATCGGCAGCATGTAAGCAGCCTTAGCCTCTACAGATAGGCGAAGTCCCCGTCTCGCGGCCTTTGCGCAGCCGCATGTGGTGTGTTTCGCACGAGAGAACCGCTCTACGCCCTCTGACTCCTTATCTTTTGACCCTAATTTACCAGAACCGAGTCCAGTTTGTGCTAGGCTAACCGAGCACCTGTCGGAGAACCTCATTACTAATTAGAGATGATTCTTGCCGCTTTACGCCAGAGACCATAATTAGAATTTTTAAATAATATTCCTACTGTAAACATTTGTCATCTGGCGCATGAATTTACAGGGTTGCCAGCTCTCACGCATCTGGCGTGACACACGCTTCAGACTCTCACGCTCACGCAAGAAATCTTACTGCAAATTTATATTATTCCATTATGAACCTAAAATTAGCTACATCAAAAGCGTTGGGGCAGTTTGCAAACCCTACAGACTATTTACAAGGTAATAAAACTCTTACATGCATGTAAATGTGTGCAGACTATAGTTTAGAATTGAAAATCTCACTTCAGCCAGCTGACCAAACTTGGCAAGCCTGCATTTATGCAAATGAAATTGAACAACCAGCCGTTTATTGATATTCTTCAAATTGTTGCTTCTTTTTTATGATTATTATAAACACCATTATGTGGCTATGAAATGAACGCAAGTTTTAATAGTTTTATGGGATTATCTTCTATTTCGGTTCAATTCTGACCGTGTGTGGCTTAAAATAAATTCATAACCTACTCAATGGTAGGCTAATGTCCTGTTTCTTTAATCCACTGTTGTCATCCGGGGTGTGCAGCTGTTCCCATAACTAGTGTAATGGGTTTAGCGGCGGTGCTGTCGTTTCATTTTGTCCTCAACCTGTTGGTTCATTTTTCGAAATCATTGCAGCACCTGCAGCTGCTGCTCGTGCGTTAACGCCAAATCTGTCTCATCCAAAAAAGGGTGATATACCTGCCCTCAGCCCCCGGGACGGGAATCTCCCAGCACCCTGATTGCCAGTAGAGAGTGAAAATGTCCCCAACTGATGGTGTAACGACTCTTCTTCATTAAGAAGTGCTCTTGGTCTTTTAAAATGTGTCCCGAGCCACTGAAAGGCGATTGTTCATTAAGCGTTTGCTTAGTTCAGTTAGTATGTAATGCAAATCATGATTAATAGTGCTTTTCATAAATAATTTGTTCTCAATCATGTAAATATTTTCACATAAAATTAGCTCAGAATTAGAAATATTTGAAATGGTAAGCCTTTGTAAGAGTGCGGTGAACAAAATCTGTCTATAGTGTTTTTCCTCTAGCGCTATTGCTGCGTCTCTTCATAATCACCCTTATCCAGGTCAACCAGTCCTCGTTCTACGGCACCGCAAGTTTTGTTGTCCTTGTGTGCCTCCGCTTTCCACCCCATCCACCCACCCCTTGGAGCCTCGATGTCACGGTGAGTCAGTTCTCTTTTGAGTACTTCACCGACTGTCCGCCGTAGTTTTGCAACTAAACCAGCAAGATACCTGGGATTACAGATTCCTTGATTCCTTGATGCACAAGGGAAATCCAAAGGTTACGTTGCACAAAGCCTTGTTTTATCGCTATGTACATCCCAGAGTTGTACAATTTGCAGTGCATCAGCAAGTAAAATTACCAATATTTATCTGTATTACAATGATGTCACGGCATTGTGGAACTGTTTGTTTTAAACGACCTGTAAGCAATGACTTAGATGTTACGCTTCAGCTAAATATCAAAATACATCTTCTTGGACGAAATCTGTTTGTTTCCTGTTACAATAAAGATCGAGCTGATGCTCTTCAGCTCAGCTGACCCACTGTTCTATCTGAAAATTTGCACAACATCGCCCTCTAGTGCCCGAATGGAGTGGTGGCGTACTAAATCCAGCAACCCCTATAATCGCAGCAAGCAAGCAACACCTACCTAATAAAAAAAATTATGAGCCTAAATCTATGGAATGAGGGTACAAACTTTGAGTGTGGTTTTAATGTATCGATTTAGTTTTTGGGTCCTGGTATGTTCCTTCTTATTTTCTCAATGCTGGTCATGCTTGGACAGCTTTGTCAGGAATTATGGAGATGTGTTTTTCTTTTATACGGTTGCATTTTGGCTTTTGTACCCAGCTGAATAGCTACTAGAACAGTGTCCTCCCAAGGGGATTGAAATGGGAGCCGTTTGCTCTCAGGTCCAGTTACTTACACAGTAAGCTGGTCGCTGCTAAAATTTCCACAAGACCTCATATGAAAAAGAAGTCAGTGATTACTGAGTCTCATCATCCAGCTCATCGACTGAAGGGGCAAGAGCCAAGACTCACGGCCCGTGGCCAGATCCCCTGCCCTATTTCGTTTGTTTGGCTCAGTCCGGGGAGTGTTTGTGTGTGTGTGTGCGCGCGCGTGTGCTGGCACGAGAGAGAGAGGGGGGGGGGAGAGAGAGAGAGAGAGAGAGAGAGAGGGGCAGAGGGTGAGAGATGCGATTGGGTTTCAGCAGAAGCGCCAGCATTCTTGCAGGAAGTCTAACAAACAGGTGTGTGGTGGGAGAAAGTCCTGCACCACGCCCCCATTCCGTCTCTCTCTGACCCACACAAGCACACACACTCCCTCCTTGGTCCTACATAAATATCTGATAGGTTCACCCATGCTTGACTTTTCCTGGCTCAGCTGGTGCATGCCGTGACTCCTAGCTCAACCCCCGACTGTACTTCCTCTCTTCCGCTCTTCCTCCAGATCCCTTTACATGCCGAATATCAGCCGTCCTCCAACCCCGTGGTCTCTCCTGCTTCCCAGCTGCAGTGTTCCTTGCCTCGTTAGCTTTCACAGTCCTGCTTGACTGGCCTTCTTC